AGTCACAGTCAACAACAGGCAGTCGTTGTTATTGTTTTTTTTGTTTATGGGATAAGCCGGTAAGCGAGAGGTCACCAGCTGGTAGTAAGCAATCGGCGTCGCCCATGGACACCTGGAACACCAGAGGCGTTACAAGTGCGTTACCGGCATTTTGAAGATTGTTGGGGATTCAAGGATTTAGGGGATGGGAGGGGCGGTTATTGGGCCCCTGTATTTTCAAAAACAACTGTGTTAAAAGTTATTTTACTTAAAGATTTCGGTAGTACCCTAGTCAAATCCAATGTTTTTTCAATAGTAACTGATTTCAAATTGCATTCATTTGCATGCCAGTTTTTAACTTACCACTTACATGATCTGTTAAAAAATGATAGTATTACACTTAAAAATTACCTTTAAAATTAGCAAACTTTAATAGCAAATTCTACACTACTAAGGCTTTAAAACTATGTTCATACCTTTTGGGTTTGGTTCATCTAAAATATTTTAAAATGGCGATGAAAAATCAATGCGTAATCTTGAAAGTGATGGGATGTTTAAATTAGGGGAGTTAGGGGATACCATAGTCTGGGATTTGCTGCTGTATTGGTTATTCTAGGGTACTTGGAGAATACTTATAATAATGGATCAAACTTTCCAAAATCAGGGTAATGTCAGCGCGATTATTTTCATCAACGCGATAGACACGTTTATGACGTTCGATGCTTTAATTGGCTTCTCTAAGTTAACCAACCAATCAGAAGGCATAATGCGGTAACGTTTCGATCGCGTTTTGACGTAAAAAGAAACGTACATTAGGCACTTTGATAGATAAAGTCGTGAATGACTTGTATTAGCATAACATAACATCACGCCTTTTATCCCCGAAGGGGTAGGCAGAGATGCACACAGAAGTAACACCCACTTTTCACTATTTATGTTATGAGTCCCATGTAATAGGGGGTGAGCCTATTGCCATATACCGGGCACATTTCCAGATTCCGTGCTACTACTGAGAATTTTTTTTTAAAACCCAATAATACTTTGCCCGACTCGGGAATCGAACCCGATACCCCTTCCTTGCCCAGCAGTTGCACTTGCGACCACTCGACCAACGAGGCAGTCTTGTATTAGCAATTAGTACAATTTCCTATTACAATATCACTACATAGTATAAAATAAAAGTCGCTATTCGCCGTCTATCTGTCCCTATGTATCCTTAGATCTTTAAAACTACGCAACGGAATTTGATGCGGTGTTTTTTAATAAATAAGAGTGATTCTTAAGGAAAGAGTATACGTATAATCCATGCATATTGCACCCGTGCGAAGCCGGGGCGGGTCGCTAGTTGTAAATATAAGAAGGTTACATCGTCTAGACTATATTCTTAGACACATGAAAGAGATTTAAAAATTGAACGTTCTTCTTTATGCAAATAAGTTTAGAATGAAATAATAAAGTGATAAAAGTTTACCTTCGATATCATTTTCATCTGCAAAAAGACGTTCATACAATGAGAATTCTTATTTAATTAGTGTTTAGGAACAAGAAGCTGTATGTCAAGAGAGTTAAAGTATATTTTACACGGTCTTACCATCGTTCAATGTATGTTGTTCTGATAAAGAAAATAATATAATAAAGTTAAGAATCTCAAGTGATTTATGAATAGTACGTTTTTTAGTTCTACATTCGTTAACTTACCCTTATTTTTATGAGACCTCCGAAAGTTATCTGTTAAATAAGATATTACTCTTTAATTGGTATAAAAATATGGCCAAATAATTTATACTTTTCCGTTGTGAAAATTGGGTTTATTTTCGCATACTAATTATGTGAAAATTTGCGGTAATAGTGGCGCTAGTGTAGCTTTAGGCCTTTGCACCCGTTACATGACAATTAGCTGCACAATATACACGGAAAATAACCTTTATTACAACGCCATAAGATTCATGAAGTAATTTTTCCTATAATAAAACTTTTGTGACTGTATTAAACAAGTAAAGATGCCAGCATATCAAAGTAACCTAAACTGTCAAAGTACTTTAAAAGTTTTTCAACCTTTTTGTTCTGCAATAAAGTCTAAAATCAATTGAAGTGCAGAAGACAACTTGACTTGCTTGTGCATTACATATATTAACTTAAATAACATCAAGTGCATCAATCTTTTGAACTGTATATAACCTCAGTAAGATATGAGCCGGCAATGTTTGGCCTTCATAGTTTTTTTTTTATTTGCTTACTATCTCAACGTCCAATACCCTCGTGTAACATCGTATGAGTTCGGAGAACTTCGTGATTTGCACATTAATATCTCCTTGTATTGTTTATTTTTCTCGTTCCTACCTGGTTTAGTTATTGTATGTGTATCTTGTATGTGAATAAAAATGTATTGACATATTTTCGCGAATAATTCCTATATGACTGTGTCAAATTGAATAAATCCTTTTTGTCGTTTTAAGTATTGTTAGGACAAGGTTTTATGAAACATAATTAAATTAATCACAAGAAAGAATGACCCGTAATTTAAACAATACTCTATAGCTTTTTTATTTTGATTGAATATGCATGTAGCTTGATGCATAAACGTAGTTTTTTGGGTTTTTTTTTAAGGGGGGAAAATCATCGAATGACTGCTCCCGCCTGGGTGAGGCGGCAGGGAGTGTCAGACTCTTACTGACTAAAAACCACCCCGTTCCTTCTCCTGCACGTCGAGCCGGAGCCCCGGTTACCCGTTAGGTTCTCCGCGACATGCATAAACGTAGTAGGTAGACTGTCTCTATATTCTATACGCTGTGTAACACATACCTTCTAAAATTAATGATTCGTTATTTCACTAATAGAGGGCGTTGATAACAAAAATAAAATCAATTACTAACATGTTTTGCCAAAACCATTTGGCATAACAACAGCTCAAATGATATGCATATGTAATTAAAATCGAGTTATGCATTTACTAGTTAGTAGGTATTCAACCGATCATTATTTGACTATTTGATGTCTAATATTGGAACTTTTAATTATCTTTAGGATTATATACAAAGATTATTTCATTTAATTTCTAATTTTAAATAGACCTTATTTTATGAATTGTTCATCCAAAATTGTTTATGTTTAATAATTTTTTTATTTGACTTGTTTTGCATTGTTATGTTATGATTTGGATTTTTGATATTGTATTTCTTTTGTATTTACTTGACATTTCTGTAATTTAATTTAATCTAATTTCATTCAATTGCTGTAAATGTTTGTATGGGCACGATGTGATTCCCTTTAATTGAAGGATCACAAGGTTATTGTAACGTGTGGTGGATTATTTTTTTGCATGTAAGTGTATCTTTTGTTGGGAGTCCAAATAAATAAAACATAAAACATTATTTTTCTTTCAAAGTGATTCATACTTCTAAGAATAAAGGTTAATGAATCGTACATACATATAGATCAAACAATACAATTCTAGTTTTTCATGACCTCGATTCTTGTATGATCGTCCCGAACATTCAAAGGTCAGTATATACTGGTTTGTGTAACTCGGTATGACGTTGTGTGTACAATTATGTTCATATTTCCTTAACCATATTTCTTGACGGTAAAGGATTATGGTTGACTTGAACTTTGAATGCGTTAATTAACGTTGTTAGCTGTCGTTTTTATATCCTTTTTGGGCATTAAGACTTTTTGT